TCTTTCACCCAGACTGGAGTGCAGTGGCCCCCCCCAGCCACTACAGCCTCGACCTGCTGGGCTCCACCGATCCTTCTGATTTTGATTTTTGATTTATTGTAGAGATTTTTTTGATTTAATTTTTTTGATTTATTGTAGAGATGAGGTCTCACCAAGTTGCCCAGGCAGGTCTCGAACCCGCAGGCTCAGGCAATTCACTCACCTCGGCCTCCCAAAGCGTGGGATTACAGGCTGAGCCACCGAGTCTGGCCGATTGTGTGTATTTTTAAATGAGGCAATAAAATGATGCTTAGTAACTCTGTGTATGAATGATGCTTGTCAACTGGAGGGTATTTGAGTGAGGTGGTTATAAAGCAAGAGCATCTCCAAATGCTAAAAACTGGAAGTCTCTGCTCTAGGGCCGTTTGGTTTCTCTTGAGGCAATCCCTGGTTTCTGCCCTAGGTAGATGATGTCTTGTTAGGTATTCTTAATGTAGGGTTGGAGGAAGAATATGTTAGTATCAGGCATTTTTGTATTTAGACTTTTTAGTTGACACCTCAGGTTTTTGGTTTGATTGGATTATTTTGGACAAAAATTAAACCAAAAACACCTTCATAAGTAAATATAATACTTTTCCCTCAGGAATAATAATTTTCTATCAGGAGGTACAAAATGTCTGGCGGCATCTCTTTTTGTGATGCTAGCTTCCACTAATGATCATTATTTAGATTCATATAAAAATTTGTGATTGTGAAATAGTGATAATGTAATCCTGTCATTTTTTTTCCCTTTAGCTGAAATTGAAGAAAAGTTAAACTTCTATTTATCAATTGTTTAGTAATACTAAAATAACAAATATTTAGTAAAAGCAAAATAAATATTTTATTCTTTTATTTGCCAGCTTTTAGAATGATGAGTTAGTTCCCTAGCATTCCTCAAAGGTGACTAGTGAATAGGGAATTTTTTTCCTGAGTATTAGACCAGTCTTAACAAAGTCAAACAGCAACCTCTGACAAGATAAGGTGATCCAATGGCATGTTATCTGCCTGCCAGAAGGAGAGTTAACTTCTTGAAATAGAAGTTATAGAGAGCCTCTTCAACTTTTTACCTGTAGTGATTAATACTGAGAGCTGGATGTGGCATGCCTATAACTCCATCGACCGGGGAGAGAGAAGTGAGAAGATCACTTGGGCCTGGGAGTTTCAGACCAGCGCAGGCAACACAGCAAAACTTCATCTCAAAACAACACACACACACACACACACACACACTCTCTCTCTCTCTCTCTCTCTCTCTCACTCAAATATAAGAAAGTATGTGAAAAAAGAGAAATGACAAGAAATCAAAAGAGAAAATACATGACAGAAACAAACCCAATGGGGTCTTAGTGGTTTGGGCAGTGTGTGAAGCAATAGTAGTCAGGTAGCCCAGTTTCATGAAGGCTTTCAGCATGTTGCAGCCCATAGGTACCCATCACATGCCCTCTCCACTGCCAAGATGCATAAGAAGAAGGTCAGCTTCGCTGAAGGGGTAGGGAGAGCAGACATGTCCAAGAGAACATAGGTGAGGTTGTTAGATAAACCTGTTCCTGCAAAAGTAGAAATAAAGCACCCCCCACACACACCAAAAAAAAAAAAAAAGGCAGAAAAAGGAAAAATCTTCAGTCAAAAGAGTATAAACAAAAGGGAAAAGGAGAGGAAAGGGAAAACAGACCAAAGTGACTGACTAAGAAACTAAGGAAGAGTCACCTGCATAAAATGGAAAGTAAAAGTAAGGAGAGCCAGGCGTGGTGATGCACACCTGTAGTCCCAACTACTCAGGAGGTTAAGGCAGGACTGCTTGAGCAAAGGAGTTGGAGGCCAGCCTAGGCAACATAGCAAGATCACATTTCTAAAATAGAACCAGCAAACAAATAAAATGAAGAAAGTTGAGCCTCCCATGTGTGTGTATATATATATATATGTATGTATTTTTTAAAGCAACAGTTAATCTATATTGAGCATTTGCTATGTGCCAAATACTCTTTTGGGTACTTTACACACATTGACTCATTTAATCTACACAACTCTTAGAGCTACTGGGGTATCTCATTTTACAGAAATCAGCAGAGAGAGGTTAAGCAACTTGTCCAAAGTCAGTCAGGGCTAAAAACAGGCTGTTTAGCTGTTCTTCAGATTTATCTGTTTTCTCACAAGTGCATACTTTGTCATTTCTAGTGACTGTATTTTCTTGAGTAAGAGATAAGTGTCTTTCTTCTGGCCGACTCTAATTGCTTGTTCTCACTTAGGGCACTCCTGGTTTGTAATATTTTTATAGTAAAAGCTTAATCAGTGCAGTTCATCTAATTCCAAATGGAAAGTATTCCAACCCGTTTTTAGTGATGACTTCTGTGTATTGGATTATTGTACAACAGATTCTTCGGTTTTATTTTTTATTGTTTTTTTAACCTTCTCCAATTTTAAAACAAAATTGTTATTTTATTTTTTTAGTTGGAGTCTCACTCCGTTGCCCAGACTGGAGTGCAATGGCACACTCACGGCCACACCAGTGGTAACCTACTGGGCTCAGGTGATCCTTCTGCCTCAGCCTTTCAAGTAGCCAGAGCTACAGGTGTGTCTACCATGCCCAGTTTTTTGTTTTTTTTAAAATTGTAGACACAAGGTCTCACCAAGTTGCCCAGGTTGGTCTTGAACCCCTGGGCTGAGGCAATCCTCTCACCTTGGCCTCCCAAAGAGCTGGGATTACAGGCTTGAGCCACCATACCCGTTTTTTTTTTTTTAAAGTACATTTCAGATGACTTCTCTGTTATTTACATTTAATGACCAACCCAATAGTTATTCCCTCTAAACTTTTTTGGACATATTGTATCCCTTCCCTTATACAAAACCTGCAATAATTTCCCATTACCTTGAAATCAAGTCTGGCATGATCAGCTCTTGCCTACCTCTCCAGTCTCATTTTACCTCATGCTTCTCTTCTCTCACTGTGCTCTGATTACACTGGTCTTGTTTGAAGTTCCTTGAGCAAAACTATATTTCCTCCTGCTTTAACACACCCTGTTCTTTGTGCCAAAAAAACACACTCTCACCCTTTATTTCTTCACATCATTTAGGTCTCAGCCTAA